AATACAAGGACATTTCAGTCCCTCAGCATTTTAGGATGCATAATTTCCATCTCTCCCCTCTCCTCCCCCCCACTCACACTCTATTGATCATTCCACTATGCCAAACTCAACTACCCAGCCAATGGTACCAAGTGGTTCCAAAAAACCAGACCCCAAAGTTGTGACCCTGACCCAGATGGAACAACCCCAAGTACTGATGAATACCCTCAAAGTTTGCTGAGGCCCACTGCTTTTCCTCAAGTGCTCCAGTGTGAACAGCCATCACTTAGCTTCACAAACTAAACTGGACATTTCTCATACCTCAGTACGTAAGCCATGAACTGGAGTTGCAGCAAGGTACTGGAGCTCATCATAACCTTGGGGAAAGAGAAAACCATGGCCAAGTGCATGAATGGCAGCTGACAACACCAGGTAACCTACAAACACATTGTGGCCCAAGTAATAGTTCAGGGGTAGTGGGGATGGCTGCAGATTCACACTAAAATCAAGAGCTTGAAGTCTCGGCCTGTTTGGGGCAGGGATGCTAACAAGACCTCAGGCACCATGAAGACCATGGTCCCCCCTACCACAAGGAGCTATCCAGGATTCTCAATGAGGACCACACCATCACTGAACACTCATAGTCCTGGTGTAGTGTGATGATAACAATGACATCAACAATGGAGTTACCGCTCCATTGTCTGCTACTGAAATAGCTGTGGAGGAGCCTGAGGATAGCTGCTTGGTGGACTTGTTTCCTGAGCCAGGATTTAGCCCCAGCCCTGACCCTGACCCTAACCCACACTCAAATCCAGATGCAGAATGCACAACATGAGGATAGCTTGGATGAGACCCTCATCAAGCAAGTGGAAAGTGACAGTACCACACCAGTTACTGTAAATTTCAACAGCTCCAAGGGAAAGGTTGACTAGTGGTATATTTGTGGGTATAGGGCCATGGGGTGGGTCATGGCTTATGGTGTGAATTGGGACTCTGGGTTATTTTATGGTTTGGAGGTGTCTCTGGACTCTGTGTGTGGTACATGTCTTAGGGAAGTAGCTAGATGTGGGGGTGGCAATGGGTATAGATTGCTTCCCACCTCTGCAGCTCACCAGAGAAGAAGTGGCATTGTGTTATGCACAGTGCAGAGGAGGTGAGAATTGGTGGCACACCCATGTGTGGGCCATAGCAATTGTGCGTGGGTACATGGCTCAGTTGCAGATTGATGCTTATTTAAGGTACTCAATGGCTGGGCCAGTTAGGGAGGTGAGTAGTTTAGTTAAGTGTTAATTATTGCATGAGAAGTGCTGACACACAGTTTACCTACCCCATACTCAGACTACCGCAAAGAGCATGGTGGCTCTCAGCCAATTCCTCCCTCTCCCTTTGTGGCCCTCCTACATGCAGTGAGGTATGTCAGTGGGCTTCAGGGGGCCACCTTCCCCTGGTCCATAGATATTGATGACTGATAGTTGTATTCTATGTCTCAGTACCTCTAGACAGGCTTGTCAACGCTCCCACCCACATAGCCCTAGGATAGATTTCTGTAACAAAAACATGTGAAAATGCACCATCAGAGGTTATTATTTAGGTGTGTTTGTGCATGAACAGAGGGGTGACTGAGGGAGTGAATCCCTGAGAGG